TATCTTGTTCACTGATACATCTCTAGCACTGGCACACAGTAGGCACTCAAATATTTTTCCAAGAATAAAATATGTGTCAAATTAATTGCAGTGTTCTACATCCATGGATTCTTTCGATTCCAACTGCAACATCTAATCTGAGTTTTTCCTCAGAGTTTTCTACCAAAATCAAAGAGGTAAGAACATAGAAAAAAATACAGTCACGGTGTAGTGGCTCACAACTGTAATTCCAGCACTTTGGGAGGATGAGGTGGGAGAATCACTTGAGCCTGGGAGTTCCAGACCAGCTTGGGCAACAAAACAAGACCCTGTCTCTATAAAAAGTTTAAAACATTGGTGGGATGTTGCAGCACGTGCCTGTAGTCCCAGCTACTCAGGTGACTGAGGCAGGGGGACAGCCTGGGCCTGGGAGGTTGAACTAGAGAGAGCCATGATTGTGCCACTGCACTCCTTTTCTGGGTGACAGAGCGAGATCCTGTCTCAAAAAATAAAAGAAAATGGGGAATAAGTGGAGCTCCCCTACTGGCACATTCTGAAGAGGCCACATGATTCTCTGAAATCTAGTATTTTCTTGCTAAGTGTTCCTGTGTATTTTCTTCCTATTCTTTTCCATATAAAACTGTTGTCCTTTCCTAGATCTTCAGTTAAAACTGGTTCTCCATGACAGAAACTGGCTCTGCCTTAACTTTTCCGGAAGCTCCAAGACACCCTGTCACCTCCCATGCTGCACCTCCCAAACCGAAGCCTCTGTCATCATCTCTGGGCCACTGCCAAGGCCTCATAAATGGCTTACCTGCCCAGTTTACCTGCTCTCATCACATCACAGCCCACGGAGCTCAGTGGTTAAGAGTCTGAATCCATCGCCAGGATTTTACAGTGAACATTCTGCTACACTGGCTTCATCATCCCTTCCTGCCCATCTGTCAATCCTAGATCCACTTTTTAAAACAATAAGGCAGTATGTGAAAACTAAGAACCAAGTGGTTCTGACTGAAGTGTCAGGAGGAGAGAAAGAACTATGGGATGAGATGGCTGGGAACATTTCAAAGAGGGGGTGAGCCTTTCCAGAGGCTCCAGGTGGGTTAAGACCCACTCGGAGCAGTGGGTTGCAAATGGAATGTGCATGTCTAACATGGTTCCTGTGGTCAGGGACCAAGTCTTTCAGAACCACTGCTCCAGAGCCAATCTCTTTGGATGAAATTCCTTGCTTTACTCACTTGCACCTGGGCCAATTCACTTGCCATGCCTTAGTTTACTCATACACAAAATGGGGGTGACAGCACCTCAAAGAGTTGTAAGGATTAACTGGATTACGACATGAGCACTCAGAACAGTGCAGGGGACAACGAGTTCAACACAAGTCACTGTAGCTATGACGCTTAGACCAGGCTGGCCCAACAGAAAATTCTTTCCACAGGATCAAGTGTAAATCTCTCCAGTGACTGCACTGTTAACTGACTGCTCAGTGACAGAAACCAACCACTAGATTCACACCGATCCCAGCTGTCTGACCGCACTTCAAGTTTCTCCACTTTCACTCCCCGCTACTCTGGAATTTCCTTCTTCCTCACTTACCAATGTGTTATCCATCCCTCAAGGTTCACCCACTCTTTGAAATATTCCCAGCTATCTCAACCCATAGTTCTTTCCATCTTCTTCACACTTAAATCGGAACCACTTGGTTCTTAGTTTCCATGGTGGGAGCTTATTTTTTAAAAATGGATTTAGGACTGATAGGCAGAGAGACAACCAGCATAACAAAATGTTAACTGCAGAATCCAGAAGTGTCTGTAGAAGCACATGGTGAAATTCCTCCAACTTTTCTTTTCTTCTTTTTGAGACGGAGTCTCCCTCTGCCGCCAGGCTGGAGTGCAGTGGTAAGACAGCAGCTCACTTGCCACCTTCGCCTCCTGCCTTCAAGCGATTCTCCTGCCTCAGCCTCCCGAGTAGCTGGAACTACAGGCACGTGCCACCACGCCCTGCTAGTTTTTTCTATTTTTTAGTAGACACTGGGTTTCACCATGTTGGCCAGGATGGTCTCAATCTCTTGACCTCGTGATCCGCCCGCCTCGGCCTCCCAAAGTGCTGGGGTTACAGGAGTGAGCCACCGCACCTGGCCTCCTCCAACTTCTCTAAACGTTCGAAAATCTTCATAATAAAATGTTTTCTTAAAAAAAAATAAAATAGTACCTGCAAATCAGAGGTCTGGCCTTAACTCGAATTCAGAGAAACTGAATCCAGGGCTCTGCGCACAGCGAGCCTCCCCTAGGATCTGCCCTGACACCTCATGGAGGAAAGGTGTCTACACTGGGGTGTGCAGCTACAGTAACTAATCTTGCAATCACCAGCCACGACTGAGACAGTATCCGCTGCAGGGGCACGGTGATCAGCGTTATTTCATTTAGCTACAATTTAACCACGGCCACCAGGTGGGCTTCACGATGTACGCATCCCAGCAGCTGCTGACCCGTTTCCGACCCTCGCAAGTCCCCTCTGCGGCCGGGCCTTCGGCGGTGCCCACTGCCCAGAAGAGGCGCGGCCCAGCCACCAGGCAGCAAGCAGCCGGGCGAGGAGCCCAGCTCCTAGGCTGGAGGCCGCGCCCCCGGCTCGCCCCATCGCCCCAGGACGTCCTGACAGCGACCCTGAGCGGCGGCCGGAGCGCTGCCCCAGGACCCAAGAGCTCGCAGAGTCCAGAGACAGTTTGAATACTTTGGCCAAGGTCGCCACGGCCGGCGCGCGTCGACCCCGGGTCCACCCGTCCCTGGACTCTGTGATCCCAGAGAGGCGCCCTTGTCGGCCGGCTGCGGTGGTTCTCGCGGGTCCCCGCCCGGATTTGGGGTCCAGCCGGGAGGGCGCGGCCGGGAAGCAGGGCCGGGCCAGGAGCGGCTGTCCCTAAGCGCGTCTGACTTACATGTTGTTGAAGCGGAACAGGTCGTCGCAGGTGAAGGCCCGGAGCGTGGTCATCTTGCCGTCGCAGCTTCCGAAACCCGTAAGCCAAAACCCTGCGCCCGCCCCGCCGGAAGTCTCCCGGAGCGCGGCCGCCGCGGAACCCAGGGGCCGGGGTACTGCTTCCGGGCCACGAGTTCCTCGGCAATGATGGCAGCGAAGCAGCTTCCTCTGGCGGCCGGCGGAGGGAATTGCCAGCCAGTTCCTGTAAGGCCTCCGGGGCTCTGGCTGCTCAGAGCTTCTGAACTCCCGGGAAGCGGCTGCAAAAAGCAGGCCTCGACACCTGGCAAGGAAAAAAGCTGCTAGGGATGCAGAAACCGAAGCAGAGGAGCGGGGTTCACAGCCACCCGGTGCTGCAGAGTAAATGAGGAACGGGAGACCGCTTGTCCCAGGGTTGCGAGTCGCAGATGTGATCTTAAAATGTCAATACCACGTTTAAATACAAAAAGAAGGCGGGGCGCGGTGGCTCACGCCTGTAATCCCAACCCTGGGAGGCCAAGGCGGACGGATCCCTTGAGGTCTGGGGTTTGAGACCAGCCTGGCCAAACGGAAGGAAGGACGAAAGGAAGAGAGGATGGGAGGAAGGAAGGAAGGCGCGTGCCTGTACTTGGAGGCTGAGGCAGGAGAATCCCTTGAACCCGGAAGCGGAGGCTGCAGTGAGCGGAGACTTCACTTCTCCACTCCAGCCTGGGTGAGACTCCATCTCAAAAATAAATAAATGCAAAAAGAAGTGTAAAATTGATTTTGATAGTACCCTTTATTTTACCCATTTATTTTTCCTATTTGGGAAAAATATTTTTCCCTGACCTCACTTTATTATACCTGAATATCATTTCAGCCTGGCCTCGAGGATTCTGGGGACAAATTCACTGGTAATCTCATAAGAGCATGCTTATGAATGACATATTGCTTTTCACTTGCTGCTTTCAAGATTCTTTTCTCCCCTGTGACTTCTGAAACTGTGCTGATAGTGTTTTACATCTCTTCTTGCTTATACCATTGATGTGTTGAGCTTGTTTTTGCATCTCTGTTCTTTCTTTGGAGAAGTTTTCAGTAATCATTTTCTTTCATATGTTCAGTTTCTGAATTCATTTGTTATACTTTAAATCTTTTTATTGGCATTGTCATTTTCCTGATTTAGTTTTCTGTTTTCCCATTTTTATACATTGAGCATTATTCAAATGATAATTTTTTTTCAGCTAATTTCTGCATCTCCATTGTTTTAGGGTTGATTTCTGAACCTTTTTTGATGTCTTTAATTGTGCCACATGACCCTAATACTTTGAACAGGTAATCTTTGATTGAGATTCAAGCATTAACAAAAAGCCACCTGCCACAACTCTTTTAATGTGACTTTCTCCTGGGGTAGACTGAAACAAATTGGCCCAGATGCTAGAAGTCTCTTAAAGCCCGTTCTGAAGATGGGTCTTGTGTGGAATTGTGTGTGTATTTTTCAGTGAAAGGGGGTGTCTCGGGTTTCTTCATAGTGGCCTGTGGTCACCTGATCCACCTGTTACTGGTGGTGCTGCTGCAGCCTTCCTGCTGCGGTCACGGGGATTACCTTTTGGTCTCAGAGACCCAACCTATCATTCAGAGGACCCCCATTTCTTTCAGGACTCCATGTCATCAGGGGCAGAAACCAGAATTTGCCATAGCTTCAAAAGGAGAAACGTAAAAACACTTGTGTTAGTATTTTCTTTCTTTGTTGAAGGAGATACTACGAGTTGAGGGTTGACTCTTACAGGCATTCTGCTGTACTGCAGAGGAGCAGGGGCTGTGGGGGTGGTGTGAAAATAATCAACTTTTTTTTATTCTGATGTGGCTCTTAACATTGTGCTCACTTGGTGTGCTGCAAACTCTGAAGTGGTTCTTAGAGTTCCGATGCATTTTCTCACTAGTCATTGTTACATTTACATATTACAAAAAAATTAGGGCCTGCAGTATTTTTTGTGCCATTTAGCTAATGTACTCAGTATTATTTTATAGATAAGATTCATAAAGTATATTCATCCGTGTCTAGTAAGTGGGGAAAGTTTTGTTTATTTTTTTTTCAGCTATGTTGTCCTATTTTACCCAAGACCTTTTGCCAGAGCAAAACATACAAGATGCATTCCCAAAATCAATACTGAGAGGATATGGAAATGGCAGCCTTGATAATTTCCACTGGAGGAAAGACTGGGGAAAAGTAGATGAATGTAAGTTGCAGAAAGAAGATTATAACGCACTTAACCAATGTTCATCAGCTACTCATAGCAAGATATTTCAATGTAGTAAATGTGTTAAAATCTTTAATAATTCTTCAGATGTACGTAGTCATAATATAAGTCATACTGGAGAGAAACCTTTCAAATGCAAAGAACCTGGCAAATCCTTTCAAATGTTCTCATTCCTAACTGAACATCAGAAAATTCACACAGAAAAAATTTCCAAAAATGTAAAGAATATGGCAAAACCTTTCACCAGTGCTCACACTTTACTGAGCATGAGAACATTTGTACTAGAGAGAAACCTTACAAATGTAAAGAATGTGACAAGGTTTCTAAAACTTGCTCATCCCTTATTAAAGATAGATTTTACACTTCAGGAGAACATTAGAAATGTGAAGAATTTGGCATTAGTATTTAATTCCAAATTATGGCATTATTTAATGCCACATACTAATGCCAAATTATTTCATGCCATTATACAAGTGGCATTAGTATTTAATACAATTAGTATTTGTCAAAAGTATTTCAACAGTGCTCCCGCCTTACTGATGGTAAGGACCATGGCACTGAGAAAAAACTCCAGAAATGTGAAGAGTGTGGTAGTGTCTTTATCTCTTGCTCAAGGCTGTCTAATCATCACATGATTATCGCTGGAGAGAAGCTCTCCAAGTGTAAAGAATGGTTGAAGCCCAAGTCGTTCCAAACATCAGAGAAATGAGATTGGAGGAAAATCTTTCAAATGTGGGGAAAGTGACAGCATCTTCAGGTGGTTCTCAGACCTTACTAAACATAAGAGAATTCACACTGGTGAGAAACCAGACAAATGTGACGAATGTGGGAAAGCCGATACCCAGGCCTCACACCTCATTGAATATACGAGGATTCACACTGGAGGGAAACCCTATCAATGTGAAGAATGCAGGAAAGTCTTCAGAACTTGCTCAAGCCTTTCTAATCATCAGAGAACTCATTGTGAAGAAAATCCCTATACGTGTGAAGAATACAGCACCATCTTTAAGCAGTCATCAGACCTCAATAAACCTATGAAAACCCATACTGGAAAGAACCCTTACACATGTGACGAATGTGGAAAAAACTTTACCCAGTCCTCAAATCTTACTGTGTATCAGAGAATTCCTGCTGGAGAGAAATCCTACAAGTGTGAAAAATGTGACAAAGCCTTTACCCACTTCTCACACCTGACTGTACATGAAAGCCTTCATATTTGAGAAAAAAATAAACAAATGCAAAAATAGGGAAAGCCTTTAGTAACTGCTCACATCTTACTTTACATCAGAGTTCGTACTTAATCAAGTTATTATTAAAGATAACGACTGTTGAAAGACCTTTCATGAAATACAAGTTTCCAGAGCACTAAAGAGCATTTCTTCTGAAAAAAAGAAAATTAGAAATATGTTTTATATTAGATGGAAGCCTTGCATTAACTGCCTAAACTTTATTCAAATTCAGAGAATTTGTGTTGGAGACAAACCCTTCAAATGTCATAAGCGTGGAAGAACATTTGTTCAGAAACTATAGCTTAGAAAACACCAGGGTTCATACCAAAAGATATTTTTCAAATGCAATAAGTGGGAAAAATAAGCAAAATCAAGTCTAAGTAAACATTAGGGAAAGAGAAAGGAATAGGTCACTGACATGTTCGGACATGACGCTGAATCAGTTTTGAGTCTACAGAGTAAAATAGATAATTCATTCATATTTATGATTAAAAGGAGGATGATATTTATTTTTTGTAGAGTTTTAAGTACATTCAGGATATACTTTTTTGCATTGCAAAAACGTTAAATAGTTTGAAAAACCAATATTGATGTAATTCAGCTCTCAGATCAATTGATGCTATGTCTTTATTTCTAGTGCTGACGTGAAAACACATGCTTAATGGTTGCTGCATCAGAGATACGAGAAGTTATTTTATATTAAGTGTGCATCGCTGATATACTTTTGCACGAAAGATGAAAGATGCTGAAATGTAAGATGTGTGAGTCAAATCTTGCTACAAAGCCTCTTTGTAGTTGTCTTACATACCTGTAATTGATTCATGAGTTAAGTGTTTATCTTCTGCATTATAAGAAGAGAGAATCATTTTGAATTTCATAAATCATTGGTTCTAGCAGTATTTCATTATGGTAATATACCGCAAGTTTTGAAATGCTTTTTAAGATTCTTTGTGAACTTAATTTGTTTTTAATTGAACACAATTGTGTTAAATGTGTTAGATCTGGTGCTCATGGAATAATGTGTTATCCTACCAAAAATCAATTCCATCTTACTCAACGGTGTCGATAACAGACGGCAACAATCTACTCTCCGATGGCAGAGTGGAGTAACATCTTCAGTGATCTTCATTCCCAGTGACTTTTTAACTGCAAGTAACTGGAAGAATATGGTTCTCATAGTTTTTTATACTTTTCTTTGTAACTACAGAGTCATCATTGTTATAATAAAGATTATACAGAAGTATAAATAAATACCTATATTTCTGAGTAATTTAAAATTTTTTCCTGTAATTTTTCTTGGATGTACAACCCCTCTGCCCTGCAAAACACAGAGAGAGTTTAAGTTGTGATTTGCATGGAGGTAAATATACAAATATATAACTGTAAACATAAACTAGCCTGGGCATGGTGGCTCACGGCTGTAATCCCAGCACTTTGGGAGGCCAATATGGGAGGGTTGCTTCAGCTGAAAAGTTTGGGACCAGCCTGGGCAGCATAGTGAGTGACACCTGTCTCTACTACAGATTTTTTAAAATTAGCTGGGAGTGATGGTGCACACTTTCAGTCCCAGCTACTCGGGAGGCTGAGGTGGAAGGACCATGTGAGCCTGGGAGATGAAGGCCGCAGTGAGCTGTGTTCATGCCACTGCACTCCAGCCAGGGCAGTAAAGTGTGCCCTTGTCTAAGAAAACAAGAACCAAACACAATAGAGATAAACTTTAGGTTTAAGAGAATTACGGAGCACGTAATTGTGTTTGTGTGAGTGTGGGTGTCTACCTGTTTTGAAAGTACACACGACAAAGAAAATAGCAAGATTGGATTCAAACAGATAATTTTAATAGTCTTGATAATTTACTAGAAAACTACAAACCTCAAAGATTTTGAAGGAAATCTCGATTCTCTCCTTTGTGTTGAATTCATTTCTGTATAATATTCTGGCTCCTGGTTCAGAATCTCCTCATGCAAATCCTCTGTTTTTACTTGCCTGTTATTCATGCTG